ACCTGAAAAAAATACGGTATAAAAAACTTCATCGAATATTGCTGGTAACCCACTCCCACGCGTTAAGTACAATATAGGTAGATATAAGAAAAGCATTTGAGACTGGAATACATATATAATCCAAAGCAACTCTAGCTTTAAACCAAGATCAGGAATCAAGACATAACAACAGGTTAAACATCACAAATCATCATACAGATACTAGCATGCGTCCTATCTTGTAAGATAAGATAATCACAAGGCTCAACAATAACAAACAATAACAACAACAATGCACACGACAAGCAAGGGCAACACACAACAATACTATCACAATCCCGCCTTATACCAAGTTCCAACCTTTACTCTCTCCATCCTTATATTAGTTCCAACCTGTACTTCCAGGGGACCCTTATAAAGCCACTCCCTTATCCCTCCGGGTAACTACATGCCCCCACCAACATCCCTCCACCATAATCACCAATCTGATAGCACCGCAGTACCATTAACACATGATCCGTGCCTCTAGCACCACTATTAAGGGGTCTTGCATATAGCACGAAGACATGGCATCTAGCGCTTATAACCTGACCCATGCCTTTAGCGAGCAAGTCTAAGGGTTGTCTGTGCCTTCAGCACGATAACCGAATGGTCTGGGCCTTTAGCACCAAAATCGGGCACTCGTTGTGCCAACCGCCAACATTTTCTTTTCCACCAATCACATCTTTTTCTCATCATGTACAATCAATCAATCAATCATGTGCAACAATAACAGTGACCACCACTCAATAACAATAACAATCACTACACATTAACGCATAGCAAGGAACAATCAAAGGGAAAGCACAACAATCACATAGGCTACCATCAACAAACGACATCAACATAAACACGCAACCCACAAGATACAGTCTAAGCCCTACTTCCCAAGATAACGAGACAATCACAAGATACACACGGGATCATGCAAATCTCATCCAAGGCCAACGGGATACTAACTTAACCCACATGCAATAGCCACGACTAAAAACTCCTAAAATAGTACCCGAAATATCAAACGAGAATCATAAACATCAAACGGGGCACAACGGGACACAGGAAAACAACAAACGGGGTGAAACGACACGACGCGTCGCCCCGTACCAGCGGGTGTACGGCGGGTGTAAGCCAAGAAACCAACACAAACAAATCCTAAATACATGCTCCTAACATATCAAGATTCAAGAATCAACTCCTAGTCATGCAAGAACATCAAGAACCTCAAGAACATCAATAGTTTATCACATAAACCCTAATGACAAGCTCTAAACATATCTAAACACAAGATTATGCATATAATCAATTATCAACATCAAGATCATCAAGATTACCAAATAAGCACTACATAAACCCTAGGCAAAGCTCTATCAAAACTCAATCACAGAATCACACATATCATTACCAAAGGAACCAATAATCAAGATATAGCGAGGAAAATAGGTTTTGTAAGACATGCGTTACCTCTTAGCCTTAATTAATCCTCCATTGTCTATTAAGGTTCTTTTCCAAGATTTTCCTCCGATTGATCCCCCTAGGCTTGGTGGTGGGGAATTCCCTGGCTAGGTTTCTAGGGAGGATTCTCGTGTCATATAGTTATGGGTGGGAAGGGTTCTAATTCCTTTCTAATCCCCTATTTATAGAGTCAAGGATCCTAATTAGAATCTGAATAGTAAAAGGTCTACTTTCTTTATTCCTAACAGGTTTAAGGTCTTTTAATATAGACAAGGGTCCACGGTCCATTGTGGACCACATTAATTAATTAAGGGGATTCTAACTAAATTAAATCATTTTTAACTATTCTTAGCGGGATTAATTACATAATTAACCCGGGCTTAAAGATCGTAACACGGAACGTTGCACCCTCCCACTTTACGAGAAGTTTCGTCCTGGAAGCTTAGAAATCATTTTGGGGATAACGAGTCAAAATTAGTACAGTAGTATATAGGGAAAATATTATATGTGAAATATTTATATATATGCATATATAAATATACTGGGTTTAAGCCTAACTATCGGGCTAGCAAAATGCATCAAATAATAAGGTTATGAATGTGCAACGTACATTATGTTAATTTTATGAATGAGTAATAACATATCATAGAAATCTTGCCCACAACATGTTTATTGTTTAAATAATTTATAATGATTTAACCAATGGGATCACAAGTTGCACCGAACATGCAATTAAATATAATTTTTTATGTATCTAAATAAGAGGCTAATACCACGCGGGTGCGGATTCAAATAGCCACATAATCATTATAAAGCACATATGCACATATATCAACACAGGCGAACCACATTTGTGAATGGATGTAAACATTTAATATGTAGTGTAGCATGTCGTGAGCCAAATACCATATATACGACATCTATACCTAATCATTGTTCTAAAACAGAACATACCAGATACTCACAATTAGACAATAACAAGCCTAACACGTATGGTAATCTTTTATAACTAACTACCATGTTATATGCGGAACCTGCAAATTGGCATGCCTCTATGTATACAGTTGTAATTATGCTAAATATGCAATTTCTTGAGTCTATAGGCATAGAGCATGAAGGCATGCGAACACATTTCAAGTTTCAATAATAACTAGTCGATCATATCACATAACACGTATGCGTACTGTTCAATATGTTAAACTAGTGCATATGCAACAAGTAAGTTTATGTATTCAACAACGCGGCATAACCAAACAATTGTCATATATATTCAGGAAGATCATAAATCATATAACAATTAATCAAATAGCAAAATGTTGGATTTTGAGGGGAAGATTTTCACGTAAGCAATTAGGAAAAATGTTTTTGCTTTTTATGGGGTAGCTAAATTTTGGGAAGACAATGGAATCAAAATCTTCATATTGCACACTACAAATCTTAAAGTAATGGGTAATCATATAACACGTATTTATATAGGTATTAAATACTAAAATTTAGCACATAGGAAGTATTTTACCAAATTCCATTAAACAAATATTTTATGCCTAATGGCCAAATAGATATTCTAAGGACATATAGCGCAATTTGCCACATTAATGCACATATCCAGTTCATACACACTGAGTTATTTGTATGTACATGCAGCCCCAAGTTACCACATATATATATCCAAAATTTGCACTAATCACCCGTATAAAGACGAACACAAACATGCAATTTATATACTTAATATCATGGAAACATCAAACAGTTTTCATATAAGAGACAATACCTACGAATATCATGGTTCACATAGCAATTATTTTAAAAATAATAGAATAGATTTTTTTTTTTTTTTTAGGAAAAGGATTTTCACATAGGCGCCTTGAGAGGGGGTTCTGTTTCTTGTGGGGTGAAAACAAATTGAGGTTGGGAGAGTGCTAGAGGGGATGGCTACACAGATTATGAGAGGAAGAAAATAAGTAAAATTAGGGTTATCTTAGGGAGTATATATATATATATATATATATATATATATATATATATATATATATATATATATATATATAAAGAGAGAGAGAGAGAGAGAATAATGCTCATATGTGGTCATGTTGTTAGGTGTGGTCGTGTGACGGAATTTCAGAATACGCCAACAATGTTAACAACATGCACCAACCGTGTAAGGGAAACACACCACAATGAAATGCAAAAAAAAAAAAAAAAACACAAAAAAATACACAACATACCCAAAAAAATACACCATATAACTAACCAACCCCAATGGTGTATTTCCGAACACTGTATGGTGTTTTTACTCACACCTAATGGTGTGTTGTTGGTGGCGCGTACCTAATTTGTGTGCGTTTTTTGTGGTGCATTTCCTGACGTTGATGGTGTATATCTTATTTAACTATTGGTGAATTCTGAAAATCGCCACATGACCATACGGGAAGGGGTCGCCACATCTGAGTGCAACCAAATATATATATATATATATATATATATATATATATATATATATATATATATATATATATATATATATATATATATATATGTTGTGCTTACTTGGTAAGCACAACATAAACCCTAGGCAAAGCTCTATCAAGACTCAATCACATAATCACACATATCATTACCAAAGAAACCAATAATCAAGATATAACAAGGAAAATAGGTTTTGTAAGACATGTGTTACCTCTTAGCCTTAATTAATCCTCCATTGGCTATTAAGGTTCTTTTCCAAGATTTTCCTCCGATTGATCTCCCTAGGCTTGGTGGTGGGGAATTCCCTGGCTAGGTTTCTAGGGAGGATTCTCGTGTCATATAGTTATGGGTGGGAAGAGTTCTAATTCCTTTCTAATCCCCTATTTATAGAGTTAAGGATCCTAATTAGAATCTGAATAGTAAAAGGTCTACTTTCTTTATTCCTAACAGGTTTAAGGTCTTTTAATATAGACAAGGGTCCACGGTCCATTGTGGACCACATTAATTAATTAAGGGGATTCTAACTAAATTAAATCCTTTTTAATTATTCTTAGCGGGATTAATTACATAATTAATAAGGGCTTGAAGATCGTAACACGTGGTGTTACAATTTACACATACATAATCAGTCAATCGAAAGTACATAATAGACTAACTGCAGATGCATAATTTGAATATTGTTTTGATCCAATATACATAATGCAAGGTGGACTTTGGTCCATTATATAATTTGCACTTTAGATGCAAACTAGGCTGAGTTTAAATTGGTTTCGTAGTGGTTACGTTATGTTGGTGCATGGAAATACTAGATGTTGTATGCAAATAAATAAATAAAATTACAAATCTCGTAATTAAAGTTAATCTACTCATTTTGCATGGGCTAGATCATTAACTCTTGTCATTAGTTCAAATAATTGTACTTTTTTTTAAAGAAAATAATTGTACTTGGTATTGAACTATAAGATTTTAATGCACTAATGTATAAAATTGTGATAAAGATGTTTGTTTGTATGTGACTTTATCTCTATTTAAAATTTTGTACTTTTTTTTGAAAACCAAATGAATCAGATTGCATTAGCCACCAAGGGCTCAATAAAAGGAGGTGGAATATCCCTCCATAGAGTTCTGCCTGCTATAGCAGATACATGCTTAGATAAGGAGTGTGCCACATGATTGGCATCCCTTTTAACAAATTTAACCTGGGAACCTGGTAAATCACTAAGTAGCCGAGTACAAGATAACAGAATGAAACGAAAATAATTACGAAACGAACTAGCAAATGAAAGACTCGTAACTAAAACTGCTGAGTCAGAATAGATGTAGCCGCTTGAGTACCCATTATTCTTCAACCAAGAAAGGGCTTCGCACATTGCCATCGCTTCCGCCAAGAGGGGATCATACGGACATGGCAAGGGGCCATTACCTGCTGCCACAAACGACGAATCACTATCAAAAACCACAAAACCATATGCCGCTGCGTGAAGGGGACCATGAAAGCCCGCATCAACATAACACTTAAAAGAGGTCGGTGTATTGCTATGTTGCGCATGCAAAGCTACGTTGCTGCTGCTGTTATTAATCACATGGGGCTGCTGACTACTCATCCACGCCGTCCACTGTACCGCAAGGCGCATCAGGAGCGAAGCCGGGCGTGGCACCACCGAGTCCCAGACTGCCGTGTTCCTAGCAGTCCATATGGCATGAAGTACACCACACATTCTGCCTTGTACCTCCTTAGTATATCCGGGCGCACTGCCAAGCCACTCCTCCGTCCATTGATAAAAATTCCTGTTGGCACACGGGGGAATTTGTAACTGAGATAGTTGCCAAACATTAATTGCAAATGGACACCTGCAAAAAATATGCGTGACACATTCCTCAAACAAACCACAACATGGACATATATTATTAACCTCAACTCTCCTAACAATCAAGTTATCAAGTGTGGGCAATATATTCAAAAGAGCTCTCCATAGGAATACTTTCCATTTGGGAGGAACCTGCAGCTTCCAAATATTATTCCATACTGGCGATGGGTCCGTATTCAAAAACCCCAACCTCCTATATCCATCTTTAACCGAATAGCATCCCCTTATATCTCCTTCCCAATACCAGATATCTTCGAAATCTGTACTCACAGGCACTCTCAAAATTAATTGTGTATCCCGGGCATTAAAATTTTGTTGCAAAAGATCCAGATTCCAGGTCCCCGTATGGGCATCAATCAACTCTGAAACTAGCATTGAGTGACCGTCCATAGCTTGATCAGACTCAACATATGGATTGTGTCGATCCGGAAGCCATTGAACAGTCCAAACCCTTGTAGCCGTGCCATCTCCAATTCTGCGCCTGCAACCAGATTTTAACAAATCTTGGCCAGCCATAATACTTCTCCAGACGTAACTTGGGTTACCCCCGATAACAGCCTCATAAAAGGATGAAGTTGGGAAGTACCTAGCCTTAAACACACGTGCCATTAAAGATGTGGGATTAGTAAGAAGCCGCCAACCCTGTTTAGCTAACAGGGCAAGATTAAATTCATGCAATCGTTTAAACCCCATACCACCAAACTTCTTTGGACTGCACATCCTATCCCAGGCCAACCAATGGATATTACCAGCGTTGCCCACATTCCCCCACCAATACCTGTTCATTAACCTCTCCAAAGAAGCACATAAAGTAATCGGCAGCAGATAAATACTCATAGTATAAGTTGGCATGGCCTGTGCCACACTTTTCAAAAGAACCTCCTTACCCGCCTTAGTCAGCAACCTCTTATTCCAAGAGCTGAATCTCTGTTTCAACTGTTGCTCAATGTAAGCAAAAACCGCCCTCCTATTCCTGCCAACAACAGAAGGCAATCCCAGGTACTTCCCAAAATCCTCCGCCTGAGAAACAGTCAAAACCCCTGACACAAGATCCCGCATCTCAGTGTGTGTATTTCGGCTGAACGAAATGTTGGATTTGTGAAAATTCACCGCTTGGCCAGAGTAGGACTCATAAACCCCCAGGCATCTTTTTACTTCCATAGCTTCCTGCAGGTTAGCTTTAAAGAAAAGCAAGCTATCGTCAGCAAAAAACAAGTGCGAGATCGGTGGTGCCCCCCGGGCCACTCTACAACCATGAATAAGCCCTTTTGAATGTGAGTCCTGCAAAAGCAAAGATAGCCCCTCCGCACAGATTATGAAGAGATAAGGCGACAAGGGATCCCCTTGCCGTAACCCCCTAGTAGGCACGATCTCCTCCGTAGGTCTACCATTAACCACTACCCTGTAACGTACCGTCTGGATACACAACATAATCAACTGTATCCATTAGCATCAAAGCCCAGACCCACCAGCATATCACTCACAAAGGACCATTCCATCCTATCGTATGCCTTTGCCATATCAAGTTTAGTGCAGCCCACCCCACCTGGCCTAGTTGCTTCCTCCTCAAGTAATGACCAACCTCGGAAGCAATCAGAATATTGTCCGAGATCAACCTACCCGGAAGGAACGCACTCTGTGAGTCTGAAATAATATTTTCTAACAGGGGTTTCATACGATTTGCCAACATCTTAGCCATGATCTTATAAATAACATTGCATAAGGCGATCGGGCGTAAATCAGAAACATGCTCAGGGACACACTTTTTGGGGATCAAAACAATGTTTGCATCATTCAAGCAATCAGGAAAAGATGACTGGATAGACAATTAAGAACAAAAGAAGTGATATCCTTACCAATAACATCCCAGAAAGCTTGGTAGAACCCCGGATTCATGCCATCCGGACCCGGAGATTTATCTTTGCCCATTGAGAACAACGCAGCCCGCACCTCTTCCGGCTCAAAAGGGCGCAGCAATTGTGCATTCTGCGCGTCAGTCACTCGAGCTTGCATAGAATCCACACTGAAAACCCCCGGAGATCCCCCAGAAGCAAAGATGTGCTTATAATAAGAAGTAACCAGTGAATCCAAAGCCTGGCCCTCCTGCCACACCCCGTTATCATTCTTTAATTTTTCGACAAAGTTCTTCTTTCTCCGGTGTGACGCATACTTGTGAAAGTATTTTGTGTTTCGATCTGCTCCACGCAGCCAGTGCTGCTTAGCACGCTGCCTCCAAAACGCCTCCTCCTGTGATAAGGCTATATTTAGACTGCAATCTAGCCGAGCAAACCGGGCCAAAGAGGCAGGATCACGACTACCTCGCAATAAATCCAACTCCTTCCGTAGCACATCTATCCGCTTCCCAAACTTGTGATGCCGGTCACCCCCCATGCTTTCAGACCCTTCCCACACTGAACAAGCCGTGCCTGCATACTCAAACCCTGTGAACTGGCCCATTCATGCTCCACCACCCCCCTGCAGCCCTCATCCAACAGCCACGCATTCTCAAAGCGAAAACAACGCGGCCTAGCAGCATGCACTACACCATAGATATCCATAAAGAGAGCCGAATGATCCGACGAGTCCGTACAAATATTGTACACCCTTGCCCTATCATACAGACCCAACCAATCCATGCAAGCCACCACCCTATCCAGGCGCTCCTCCACCCATTCCACTGTACCCTTGCCCCTTTCCCAAGTAAATGGGTAGCCAATCATGGGAAGAGACACCAAACCACAATCCTCCAAGGCCTCACTGAACCCGTCAATCAAACCACTCGGGTGCGGCAATCTACCCCTCTTCTCTGACTGAGCCAATATATCATTGAAATCCCCTAGGACCACCCACGGCATCACAGATACTCCTTTTAACGATCTCAAATAATCCCAAGACGCCCTTCTCCTATTCCTCTGAGCATAGCCATAATAACACGTTAGCCGCCACTGCGGCTTTCCAGGCAACGACACCACCAAATCAATATGATTATCTGTATAACTGACCCAAGCTAGCATAATTATTCTTTGCCCATAGAAAACACAAGCCCCCCTAGGCCCATGACTGTCAACCTTAAAACACCCCTCAAAACCCAGTTTAACTCGCAACCTCTCAGCATGACTACCATCCACCATCGTCTCCATCAAAAAAACAAACTCCGTCTTCCTTTTGGACACAAGGTCCACTACTTCACGAACCGTCCGTGGATTGCCCAAGCCACGGCAGTTCCAAAACAAGGTACTCATTGGGGACGGCGGGCCTGGTCCCCAGGTCCCACCAAAAAAGAAGACGATATCTCTACCTGCATACCCCCGTCCACCACCACCACACCCCCGTCATCACCCCTACGACGTTTTGGATCCACTCTAATCCCCTCCTCCGCCCCAACCCTATCACCCGAAGCCCCCACTGGCCGGCTATCCCCACCCAAACTACCACCGGCTCCCGGACGCACCATATCACCCCCAACCACCTCGGCAGCCCCAACTGGCCGTACCCCTCCACCCGAAACCCCACCATAACCTATCTCCCGCCGACGCTCCTGCCCCTTTTGAAACCATCAATCCCCTAAAAATTTGTACTTAGTATTGAACAAAAATCAACAAAAGTATATAAAGAAATATAGAATATAATATAATATTTTAATGAATTAATGTATAAACTGTTAATAAAATTATTTAAGGAGAACGACTATTTTTGTCTCTCGATCAATTACAATTTAGTTGAAGGGAATCAAATTATGATTTTGACTTAAAAGTAGAGTTAATTTCATTTTTTATTTTAGATTTATAGGTGACAGTCTACTTTTAGTCATTTTTTTTTTATTAAAATGTCACAATAATACTAGGACTAAAACTTGAGGTGAGAAACTAAAATGAACACTAAATAAACAATTCAGAAACTAATTGAGGACATATGTATAATTAGGGGTTAAGTTTACCATTATATAGCATAATTGAGAGACAAAAATTGTCATTTTCTCAATTATGTATATGTAACTTTATCTCTATTCAAAATACATGTACTTGGTAATGAACAAAAATTCATAAAATTGTACAAAATAAGCGGTTCAGTACTGTTGGTTTTATGACTTTTGGGCAGTCAACGACAGGCCAACTGTGACACCCCGTAATCCAAATTCGATTAAGGGATTAATTAAGTAATTAATCCTAATTCAATTGGTAATTTAATTCCTTAAATTTCTGAAAATTCAATAGTCGGGGACTAGTAATTGACTAGTCAACCCAAAGTCAAGGTTGTACCTAAAGCTTTGTGAGTAGTTCCCTTGTTCCCTTACACCTCTTCATCTTAGTAAGGGTATTTAAGACATTTCACTTTATGTTAGTAATGCAAGCTAACCTAGAAGACACTCCTCATTCTTTCTCCTTACAATTTCCAAACTTGAGCTCCTCATTCTCTCTAAAAGTTAGATAGCTTTTCTTCCAAGCCAAGTTGGAGTTTTGCCAAATCTTCAAAGTTGGTCTCCAAGATTCTACCTTTCATACATTTGAGCATCTAGGAGGGTAAGATCTATGTTTATTTTGTGTTTTTTAGTGTTTTCTAATGTGTCTTTCCTTAAAGATAGAATCTTTATGATCTTTTGGTGTGTCCTTGAAGTGGGTTTGGAAGGTGAACCTTATTAGGAGCTTGGTGAAGTGTTAAGTGAAGGTTTTTGTCTACAAGAGGTAACTCATGCTCTACAAAATCTATTTTGCTTACCTATATGATGATTTCTTGGATTCTACATGTGATTTTGCTATGAAATGTGAGTGTTTATGCATTGTCTTGTGAAAATGCATATCTAGAGCTTGTTATTAGGGTTCATGTATGTCATTGCTTGGCTATTCCTATGATTCAAGTCATTTTGTTGTATTTGGTGAGATTTGGCGTGTTTTGGACTTGAATTTGAGCTTGGTGTTGAAAATCCCCGAAGGGATTATTTTTGGTACAGTTGTGTACCCGCGGGCGGAACGGCGGGTAGGGGTCCACCCGCCGCCCCACCCGCGGGGTACAAGGTGGTTTGGGTGTGGTACCCGCGGGCGGAACCACGAGTGGGGGTCTACCCATGGGCCCACCCGCGGGGAACAATATGTGGTTGTTGGGGGATTTGTTCCCCGTGATTCTTTTGACTCGGTATTTGGTCTTTTGACTTCCCGATGTTCTTTTGTGGAACTATTTGAGCGTCTTCTTGATGTTTTGTATGTCTAGAACTATATGGTAGGATTCCATGTAGGTTTTGGTGTCTTGAATCGTGCTAAGTGTTCAACATTGTGATTCGTTGAACCGTGATGAGTTTTGTGCGTTCTTTGGAACTATGTTCTGTTTGCCCGTTTGATAAGCATGCTAGTTCGGTGTTTAAATACTAGCGTGTGTGTTTTTTGTACCTTCCTATTGTTGATGATGACTTGCGTTATTCGTCTTTGTTGTTAGACTGTGATTCATTCCTTGATTGAGTATGGTTTCATATCTTCGTTGTGATCCGTTGATTGATTCCTGTTGTGGTGTGGTGTGTGTGGCTGTACCTGGATTGCATGATTAGTGCTATGGGACACTAGTCACCGAGGTACGACAGTGGTCCTCGTGGTGGCCATGACGCGATTATGGAGTTTGTGACCTGTGTGTAAGGTTCACGTATTTCTTGGGAGGCATGTGTTGCCGTGTGTGTTCGGTACCCTCCTGTACTATGAAATCGGTGGTTCTGTTGGAGATCTGTTGGAGAGGGGACGACGGTCCTCGGAGGAATAAGGTTGGACATGGTGTACAGGGGTCCTGGAAGTAAAGGTTGGAACTAGATATAAGGTCGGGGGTAGCCATAAGGTTGGAACCGGACATAAGGAAGGCATATCAATTCGTGATAGGTGATGTCACGAAGGCTTGTGTAGCCGTTGTTGTGTATTTCTCTATTTGTGACGTGTGTAGTCACAAAGGCATGTGTTGCCATGGGTTGTGTCTTTACTCTCTCTTGTATCATGCATGTCGGGTGTTAATCTACTGTGTGATGGTAGATTACGCCTTGAGCCGTTCTTGTGAGTCGTTATTGCTTCTTATGGTCTTGTGATGTGTTCCCGTATCTTTGTTGTGAGTGCTGAGAGTCTTGTGTTGACTCCTGATCTTGATTTTGAACTAATATATATATATATATATATATATATATATATATATATATATATATATATATATATATATATATATATAGGCGGGTTCAGGTGCGGTAGTGTCTTACGGTGCGGTTATTTCTTACGGTGCGGCAACACCAATAGTTCAACAAATATGCACCATCAACGTTAGGAAAATACACCACACAAAACAGAGTAAACAGAGCCCTGGATCACCAAACACACACCATTAGGTGTGAGTAAAAACACCATACACTGTTGGGAAATACACCATTGGGGGTGGTGAGTTATATGGTGTATTTTTTTGAGTCTGTTGTGTATTTTGTGATGTTTTATTGCATTTCATTGTGGTGTGTTTTTATTACACTGTTGGTGCATATTGTTAACACTGTTGGTGTATTCTGGAATTTGACCGCACCGCCGCACGGTAAGACCCCGCCGCATATGAGCGCTCTTCTATATATATATATATATATGTATATATATATATATATATATATATTCCGTTTCACAAATGATTTTACATACGTATAACCTATCTATGTATGATATTTCACATGTATTGGTGGGTTACCAGCATTATTCG